ACATGGGGCATTATCTTGCATAAAGGTAGCCCTATCGAAACCTGAATTCTGTATGATTGGCACAACATGATCTTGAACAATGTTTTTATAGATCTGCGCGTTTACACGAGTTTGTAACCGGACAAGAGGCGTTGTACCTTGGCTAGAAAACATTCCAAATACCATGACGCTTCCGCCCCCAAACTTGACAGTTTTCTTAGTACACTTTGCACTTAATCTTTCACCAATACGTCTCTTTACATTGTTTTTTTCCATCATTTCCAAATAAATTAAACTTGCTTTCATCACTGAAAAAATACTTTTGCCCAATTTTCATATGTCCAAATTACATACCTGTTTGCAAACTCTAATCTCTTCTTCTTATTCTTCGAACTAACAAGTGGTTTCTTCCCTGGGGTTCGATTAAACAGCCCTATTTCTTGCAGTCGTCTACAAACAGTCTGTCTTGACACATTAACACATGAGGTACTATTCATAACCCTTTTAATTTCTGTGCAAGACTTAAAACGGTCCTTTAATGACATACGCTGCATTATTCGATCTTCTCTTGCCGAAGTTTTGCGGGTCTGCCGGTTTTAAAAGCACTAACTATTTTGCCAGTATCATTGTAGGATTTAACAACCCTGCCTACAACACTCTTGGAACGTTTCACTTTCTCTGAAATCTCTCTCATGGTGTGCTTTTCCTTGAGTAGCTTCACAATAGCTTGTCTCACAGAGTAATCAAGTTTTTGGCATTTCGCCATGGTGCCGGCTGATGCAACGTTTACAAATGACTAAGTAAGACTTATTCTTTAGAGGAAATCAAAAAATTTGAATATAGCATACTGTTTACATTGTTTTTCTCAATTTTGTCCCTTGCTTTTGGACGATCCTATTTTGAAAATAAATAAATAATTGTTATAATTATTTTTCTATCTTTTGCAAATTATTCAAATTTTAGTATGTTATTATGGTTGATAACGACTACCAGTTGTCAAAATTTCAGCTTTTCACAGTTGTTATTTCTAACAAATATTATGTTTTAAAATTTTGTCCCTTAGTTTTGGACGCTACTGTATATATACATATATATATATATATATATATATATATAAAGTAAAGTTTTTTTTTTACCATATGACATTTGTTTACTATATAACTCCAACAAATATATATCAGTAAAATTTGTTTACCATAAAGCATATTCTGATTGTAAAGAATAATTCTTATTTTTGAGAGCATTAACACTTTTTTGAGAATACCAATTATATCGCCTGATACAAATTCTACTATTTGGCCCATATTGTGGGTGAAGAAACGTATTTATACCTTTCGTAAGAGTATTTACTTGCTTGTTAATGTAATGAATCCAACTGGACACTGATTCCGAGCTTCTGTCCATTAGAATGCGAACCCGGAAAGAACAGATAAGAAAACAACAAGAAAATAATTGAAGTAAAATAAATAAATAAGGAAATAAATAAATAGATAAACAAATAAAATGAAGTGAAAAGAAAATTAAGGGATAATGGAAGTGTAGAATAATGTTGTTTGAAACTGGATAATATGAATGGAAAACTTGGCGAAGAAAGAAAGAAAGAAAGAAAGAAAGAAAGAAAGAAAGAAAGAGAGGAAAAGATTAAGCAAGGTAGTATGATACAAAGAAAGAAAGACACAAAGAAAGAAATTACTGCAAATCCGAAATAAGAAAGACGTTAAGATAAGTAAAGGAAAAGAGAGAAAGAAAGAGGTTAAGCCTGATAGAAATAAAGAGACACAGAAATAGAGAAGTTACAGCAAATCTGAAATAAGAAAGAAAGAAGTTAATATAAGTGTAGGAAAAGAAAGAAAGAAAGAAAGAAAGAAAGAAAGAAAGAAAGAAAGAAAGAAAGAAAGAGAGCGGTTAAGCACGATATAAACTGATCTAAAGAAAGAAAGAAAGAAAGAAAGAAAGGAAGGAAGAAAAAAAAGAAAGAAAGAGAGAAGTTAAGGTAAGTACAGGATAAGAAAGAGGTTAAGGGCGGTATAAAGAAAGAAAAAAAGAAACAATGAATTTACTGCAAATTTGAAATAAGAAAGAAAGTATTTAAGATTAGTACAGGAAAAGAAAGAAAGAAAAAATAAGTTAAGCGCGATAGAAAGAAAGAAAGAAAAATCTTTTAATCTGAAAGAAAGAAGACAATTATAAGAAAGAAAGAAAGAAAGAAAGAAAGAAAGAAAGGAAGAAAGAAAGAAAGAAAGAAAGTATTACGGGAAAAGAAAAAAAGAACCAAAGAAGTTAAGACAAGTACAAGAAAAGAAAGAAAGGAGGTAAGAAAGAAAATCAAAAATAAAGAAAGATATTCCTTTAAATCTGAAAGAAAAAAAGAAAGAAAAAAAGAATGATAAGTACAGGAAAAGAAAAAAAGAAAGAGAGTTAAGACATTTACAGGAAAAGAAGGAAAGAACTAAAGACAGAAAGAAAAAATTCCTGCAAATCTGATATAAGAAAATAAAAAAAAAAGTGAAGATGCTCAGCGAGGCACAGGAAAAGGGCGAAATAAAGAGAGAAAAAAAATATAAAAATCAGAAGAAACAAAATATTTGTCTGGATTTCTTAAAGCATTTTCATTTTCCTTGAATTTTGAGTTCTTGTGTTTATCGTCCATTTCTATTTTTGTTACCGTTTATTCTAAACCTTTATTATCCTAACCCTTAAGTAGCACAGAGTGAACTTAAATATTAGCATTTATCTTCTTTATACATACAAAGAAATAGTACCGACTGTCGTAGAGCGATTGTTATAAGCCATTGCTAACGAGTTAGTTTCTACTGGTCGCTTTATAATTGTCGCATTGTGTCATAAAGCATTGTTAAACTGTCTTCTAAGGACATAGACACGAGTTCTAATCTCACTAGAGGCTGCTTTTTTTCCCTCCCTGGTTTCTACTACTGATGAAGTCAGACAACGTCACGGCAAAACCACACGCAAGCATTTATTTGAATTCGCTTGTGCGTATAAATTTCGTTGTTTTCATTCAGTCGTTTCAACGCATCATTATTTCCTTGTACGTATCAAAAGAAAAAACAAAAACGGGGCATATAAGTCGATCTATCCACGCTGTGCTAAGCTTCGTGACGTTTGTGTTCGTCCCCCACATTCACATGGGCGTTTATGCCTGCTGCACGCGCCCCACAACTTTTTTTCTTTTTTTGCTTTCCTTTATTGTGGACGGCCCCAGTAGGTCAGGGGTGCCATATGCCCCGATCACAATAAACAGCGTAATGTTCCCTGTAAAATGAACAAGAGCAGACGACTATTCCCGCTTGACGTCAGGGCCAAAGCTGCGGTAGGCTGTTAGGGGCGAGGTCACGGAAACTGAGGCGGGAGAGTCGGGGGATTGAGCAAATGGGTGTCGTCCTGTGAGCCGACTTCCATATGCCCCTTCTCAGGTGTGCTTGCTCTGTCTCTAATAAGGCCGGACGGTTAACAAGTCGAGGAATACCTGGGCGACATATTGCAAGTGGAGGGCCCTGGCTGTTTTGTTGGTGTAGCGGGATGGCGTGCGAAGTGTTTGCGTCGGGGGGGGTAGTACAGAGGAGGGGGTGAAAGCTTGGATTAAGCGATATTTGATAAAAACAGATGGAAAGTCAGCTCAATGAAAAAAAGATAGCAACAATGAAAAAAAATAAGGGATGGGGAAAAGAAAGAAAAAGAAAGAAAGAAAGAAAGAAAGAAAGAAAGAAAGAAAGAAAGAAAAGAAAAGAAAGAAAAGAAAGAAAGAAAAGAAAAGAAAAAAAGAAAGAAAAGAAAAGAAAAGAATAAAATAAATAAAGAAAAGAAAATAAAGAAAGAAAGAAAAGAAAAGAAAGAAAATAAAGAAAGAAAGAAAAGAAAAGAAAGAAAAGAAAGAAAGAAAGAAAAGAAAAGAAAAGAAAGAAAGAAAAGAAAAGAAAGAAAAGAAAGAAAGAAAAAGAAAGAAAGAAAAGAAAGGAAAGAAAAAAAGAAAGAAAGAAAAAAAAAAAGAAAGAAAAGAAAGAAAGAAAGAAAGAAAGAAAGAAAGAAAGAAAGAAAGAAAGAAAGAAAGAAGAAAACCACGTAACGGATAGACAACTTTTGCTGACTCAACGATTACAAAGACCGGTATCATTCGTCGTAACTCTCAAGAAATTCATGCGCGCGTGCACACACACACGAGCGCGCGCGTGCACACACGCACACACGCATACACACACTCACACACGCTCGTACACAAGCGCGTACACACACACACACTGCGTGCATACACACACACACAAACACCAACACACACACACACACAAACACCAACACACACAGGGCATGTTCCGAAAGTAATGCCTTCTATTCACTTCAACGAAAACTATGGTAGATAAAAAGACGGTAATAACTCATTTAGGCAGAGTAAGTTTTCCAGTTACAGACGAAAAAAAAAAAAATAAGGCAACTATTTCCCCCATATAATCGCCATCATTGTTCGTGTGTCATCAACAAAAGCTTGTGCAGGGTGTGAGGGTTATTGCGCTTCTGCGCTAACATCTGGCACCACGATGACAATGTTTAAAACCCTTTTATCTTCTGTTTGAAGACGTTGGCGATCATGGCTCTCCAAAACTTCCTACCTTTCGTCGATCTTGTTTGTATTTTTACTATGCCTCTCACTTACCATTTACTCGCTGTTTTCCTCTGTCTCTCTTGCCTTCAATATGCAATATGAGTTTCGATTTTGTCGAGCCTTCTTTCTTCGTTATGGGTCCCATATCTTTGAGATTACTTTTTTCATATTACATGGAAAATATAAATCAAGACAATTAATCGTTTAATTAACAAATGATGACATTACATAATTATTACAATTACACTTTTCTTGCTTTTATTCTTCTTCTATGTCTCTTCAAGACGTGGGCTTTCATGACTCTTAGTAAAATGTGGACTTTTGCTATATCTCTGAATTCCTGTTCTACTAATCATTTACACAAGTCTTCTTCTATATATCATATCTTTTCAGGTCGTGGGCGATCATGGTTCTCCATAATTTCCTGTTTTTCGTCGTTGCTCTTAGTAAAATTTGTCTTTTTGCTATCTCCCCGAATCCCTGTTCGGTCAACAATTCACACAATTTCTTCTTCTTCTTCTTCTTCTTCTTCTTCTTCTTCTTCTTCTTCTTCTTCTTCTTCACACAATTCACACAATTTCTTCTTCTTTTTCTTCTTCTTAGAATTCCTGCTCTTCTTCCTCTTCTTAAAATTCATCTACTTAAAATTATTCTTCTTAAAATTCTTCTTCTTCTAATTCTTCTTCTTAAAATTCTTGTTAAAATTCTTCTTCTTCTTAAAATTCTTCTTCTTAAAATTCTTCTTCTTCTTGAAATTCTTCTTCTTCTTCGTTTCCTTCTTAAAATTCTTCTTTTTCCTCATCTTCTTCTTCTTAGAATTCCTCCTCTTATTCCTCTTCTTAAAAGTCTTCTTCTTCTTCCTAAAATTCATCTACTTAAAATTCTTCTTCTTCTTCTTCAAATTCTTCTTCTTCTTCAAATTCTTCTTCTTCTTCATAATATTATTTGTCTCTTTTGCTATCTTTCCGAATCCCTGTTTTGCCCACCATTTACAAACATTTTGCTATCTGTAGTGATATGTGCATAAGGTACGGTATAAAAGGTAGTATCGCTATAACTACGAGAGACTTACCTCCTCTTGATGAGACTACATCTGTCAGAGAGAATGTATATCATAACAATATGGCGTCGCCGATCGGTTACTTAATCACGATGAAGGATCCTGAATATGTAGAAACTTGGCATAGGTGTTTCGCAGCGTCGGCGAGAGTGAAAAAGTTAAAGGACACCAAAGCTAGTGGTGGAGAAAATGAAGTTGCGCATTTGTTTTTGGCCTCAACGGGATGTGAGGTCATGAAATATAATCTCCGTCATGGCCTATTCCAAAGTTTTCGAAGATTTAGCGTATGAAAAATTGCTGCCATCATAAAAACAAATGTACGACACACAGAAAAAAAGGATTGGTCATAGCTGAAACAACCAAATTTCTCCAAAGTAGACAGAGACCAGATTAAACTATTATGTAATATGTACAGGGAATTCGAAAGAATGTGTTTGGAACTAATGTCTATCGAAGACGAGCTAATTTTGCTAAGACTGATTGAAGGAATGTTTGACACCTCGTACAAACGTAAAATTCTAGAGCGGCTTTAAGCTCAAAATATGAATCTGGAAGCATATGCAGAGTTCTTACAATAAATGGAATTGATTAAAAATGTAATGCCACCCGAAGGCAGGATGGAGACTCACAGTGCTACTAAAAGCTTACGTGTATGCAGATATTGCAATAAGGAACATGAAAGAAGCAAAAATAAGTGTCCGGAGTTTGGAAAATGGTGTTTTAAGTATAAAAAGAGGAATAATTTCCAGACGGTATGCACATATGAAAAGCGAATGGAAAAAGTGGTAAGTATAGATTGAAAGTTCGGATAGATTTGTGGAAGTAGATGAAAATGGTGAAATTGGACGGAGTAACTTTAATCATGCAGGTGGTTACTGGAAGTGATGTTACGTTGATACCGAGGAATTTGGGGAAAAGAATCGCTAGACCAAAATTTTCGAAAAGTAATCTCAAGTTGAAACAGTTCGATGGGTCAATCATTAAAATTTTAAGATGCTTTGAAGTCGTGTTTGAAACAAAAAAGAGATAATACCGATCAAAATGGTGGAAAACATCAAAAGCCACGGTCTTTTAGGAATTGACATGCTAAGAGTGGATCTATCGAAGCTGGTAAATTCCATGAAGTCTGTAGAACCGGATATTGGATTAAAAAGCGGCTCCTACTGCTATTAAGCATTACTCTTCAAGTATGAACTAAATTCTCCCAGCCGTTGGCGTATTTTGTATGGAAAAAAACGTTAAAATTTCCTTCTTTTCTGACGTGCAACGACGTCGTAGATATCTGACTGATGTCAAAATCGGGTTTCGATCCCAGCTTGAAACAATCGGAAGTCTAGCCACACTGAGAAGCTGTGATACAGCGAAACAGTCTGTGGATGAATATATATGCTCCCGGAAATCCGTTTGAGCTCTCGAGAGAAAACCGGTTTTAAAAACAGCGATTATCTCTCTCTCTCTCTCTCTCTATATATATATATATATATATATATATATATATATATATATAAGTTATGAAGAACTTGGTAATCCATATGGGTAATCCCAAGGAGGATGAAATCCTGAGAGCTCAATGTAAATCCAAAGCTAATATTTTAAAGAAAAATAGATCACTTTAAGGTACCATTATAATAATTTTATTTCACCAGAACCCTTTTAAAGGACGGGATCATCAGATAGCACTTCCAAAAATGAAATGCATTTCATTTTGGAAGTGCTTTTGAAAAACTTTGGAAGGGCTATATGATATATATATATATATATATATATATATATATATATATATATATATATATATACACTCACACGTTGAATAAAGGCAAGAAGACACTGGAAAGAATATAAAAGAGATTAGCTAAACAAATTAAGACAAAAGCAGTAGGGTCGAAAGTGATAGGATACGTCCATTTAAAGAACAGCGTCCTTGCATTGTGAGTTTCTCCAAATGTAAGGAATTCTAGCTGGGATATGGAAATCGATGCCATAGATTTCGGCTGAAAAACTCTCACCCGGTAACTTCGCTTTCTTGGGATCACGTTTTCAACTGACTTGAAGTAGAGCGATATTGAATCAACAGCTGCATCTACTGCAAGGAAAGTTGGGTCACTCTGTCGTGCCAGAAGATTTTCCTCGTCATATTTTACATATCTACCATTCGACTGTACATTTAGTACTGTTGCCATATCTGGTCTGGTGCCCCAGGTGTTCATCTCTATATTCTTGACAAAATCCAAAGAAGGATCTGCAATGTAATCGTTCCCGACTTGGCATCTCAACTTCAGTCTCTTTCTCACAGACGTAATATGGCTTCCCTCTGTCTTTTCTACAAATATTTTCATGGCAACTGCTCTGACGAGCTTTTTTCCCCCGTGCCCTAACTAAATGAATTTAAACGTGCTACTAGATTGGCATCTAGCTCCCACCGATTTACTGTTGAAATAACTTAATGCAACCGCCATTTCTACTCCAACAGTTTCTTTTCTCGCACTTCCCGACAGTGGAACTTCCTTCCTCTTGCGTCCCTGTTAACTACAAACTTCAAAATTTAAATGCAACATCAATCTCCATCTTTTGCTTTCTTGAAGCAAGTTCATCTTTTATTCCTTCCTCAATCTCCACAATCCCCACTCTTCTCTCATTTTCATTCCCTGCAACACCCTGCGTACTAGTGGCACTATATATATATATATATATATATATATATATATATATATATATATATATATCAAGGTTTCTAACCATGAAGTTTTCTTTAGGCAATGCCTCAATTAGCTCTACACTTTCGATTTTTTTTATATTTTGAGCACATTTTAAAAATATATAACCATTATAAGCCTTCTCTCTAAAAACAGTTGGAATTCCTCATCTGTTGTTCCTGTCTTTAAGAACTCTGGAGACCCTTCTGACCCTTCTAATTAACGTCCTATCAGTCTCCTACCACTCTTTGGCAATGCCATTAAAGCTTTAATCAACGCCGAAGTGGTTATGCACCTTACATCCCATAATCTGCTCTCTGACAAGCAATATGGTTTCCGCTTTGCCCATTCTAAAGCTGATGTGCTTACGGCCATAAGTGAAATTGTTTACCAAGCAGGAGCCACCTGACCGTCATCCAGCGACTGTTAGCATAATCGACGTAAAGGACAAAAAATTCATCGGAACTGATCCTTCGCCCGAAAAAGTAGCAACATGAGCGACAGGTGTCACCTAACCGTCATCCAGTGACTTTTCGCATGAAACACAAAATAACTATCGAGACATTAGAATGTTAAACGACTGTGACCAGTTGGAAAAAGTAAAACTGGAGATGAGTAGGTTAGATGTCAACATTTTACGTGTAACTCGGTGGCCAAACAACGGAGATTTTGTCAGTGACAACCACAGGATTATATATGCAGGTGGAAAGAGAAATGAAAAAGGAGTTGGAGTGATACTAGATCAAGACATCAAGAAACGCGTCCTGGGAGACTGTCACCTATCTAAAAACATTCGTGTAGGTAAACTGAAAGGAAAGCCTTTCAACATTTTTATTATAATTGTGTATGCACCGACAGCACAAATTACGAAAGAAGAATTGAATCATTCTACTCCATTCTAGGCTACGCCAAGGCTAAGTGTAAATCACAAGAAATTATAATTATCACAGAAGACCTGAACGCCAAAGTAGAGGAATGGGGAAATAGCTGGCAAATTCGGACTAGGAACCCACAACGAACGCGGAGAAAGATGGGGCCTATGGTGCACGGCCAATGAACAGGTTCCAAGAACATCCAAGAAGATTATAGACATGGAGAAGCCCAGTAGGAGAAACTAAAAGCGAAAATGACTACATAACATCGACAAAAGATTCAGGAATGCAGTAGTTCACTACAAAATCTATGCACATACCGACTGCGCAAGCGATCACCTCCCTGTTATATTTAAACTAAGAATGAAACTACGAAAACCGAAGACGCCTAGCGCAGTACCTAAATTACAATACAGCAGACTCCAGAACAACTCGAACCTGAAGGAAAAATATATGGCCAGTATGAAAAGAAGATACGAAGGACAAAATGGAAATGGAAACTCGAAGTGTGACAAACTCAGAGAAGCTTTCGTGACATCAGCAAACGATATCATTCCAAAGGAAAATGGTTGAAAAAAAAGAAAAGACGAATGGATCACATATGAGATTCTCGACATGATGCAAAGGTGACAGAAAACAATGCCAAAACATGGAACGGAATAGAGGACACTACACAAAGAAATAAAGAACAAATGCAAGCAGGATAAAGAAGAATGGCTCAACGAAAACTGTGTAGAAATAGAGAGAACGTCTATCACAAATAAAGGAGATATGCATAAAAAAATAAGGGAACTAACAGGATAGAAGACATGCTCATCAAGGGCTGCATAAAATCCAAGTACGAAACGCTCATATTAGAGAAAGAAAATATACTTCAGAGATGGAACGAATTTATCAGTGATCTCTTTCCACGACGGAAGAGAACAACCGGCAATACACAGAAATACCGACTGACCGGAAATATTAAAAACCGAAGTGGAATCTGCACTGGTCAAATTAAACAAAAACAAAGCGGCAGGGCCAGATGGAACTGTAGTAGAGATGCTGGCAGCCTTAGATGATTTCCACATTACAGAAATAAGTGAAATCTACAAGAGTGGCGATATACCGGAAGGCCTAAACATATCTATTTTCATATCACTGCCTAAGAAATCAGGTGCAAACGAATGTGAATTCCACTGGGCAGTCAGCTTAATGAGCCATATAACAAAACTCATTATCCGAATTCTGATGAATAGAAGCCAAATATAGGACAAGAACACTACAGGTTCGTCAAAGACACCTGAACAAATAATGCGATACTTATGCCCTGAATGTTATCAGTAAGAGCAATACAAATGCAGAAGAACG